GCGGGATAACGACCGACGGGGCGGAGAGAAGCCCAGCGCAGCCCGGGGCGAAGATCCCCCGACGCGGAGGCTCCGCGGAGCGTGTCCCGCTGTCGCGGCGGCTCCATCCCGAGTCCCGGAGGAGCGAGAGCAGCGCCGGGCACCTGGACGGGGGGAGCTGGGGGCAGGCCTCGGCCCGAGGAAGACGAGGGGAAGATTCCGGGAGGGCCGGAGGGCGATGGCGGATCCGCACCATTGCGGAGGGGGAAGTGCGGACGGCTCCGCACCCGCGCAGAACGGTGCCTGGCGGCCATCCCGACGGGAGCTGCCTGCCCCGGGGCATCCCCCGCCGCTGTCCTGCCTGTCCCAGCTGACCCTGCCCGCACCCCCCGCTTCTCGCCGCCCCCTCCCAGCTCCCGCTGGCTCCAGCCGCGCCGAGTTCCCCTCCGCGGCCCCGTCGGTCCCTGGGGAAGGGGCAGCAGCCGTGACCGGTGCCCTCCCGGGGTCCGCCGGGCCTGAGCCGTGCCCAGCGGGGCACGCTGCCTCCCCCCGACAGCCCTGGGCGCCGGCGCCTCCGGAGCCGCTGGTGAAGCCCTGCCCGAGCCTGAATTCGATGTCAAACACGTCGACACGAAAAATTCCTCGCACGGGGCTGCGGGGATTGGGAAGGATCGGCCCCGCGGGGACACCGCTGCCCGGGCACCCCCTGAGATCTCCCCTCCCCAGACCAGGTACCCCCGAGCTCCAGGCAGCGGCCGCCCCCGCGGCCCCGCCGGCAGCAGCCCCGGTGGGGTCAGGGCTCACGGCAGCACGGTGCCCCGAGGAAAGGGCGGGGGAAAAGCGGGGGGCCCGGTTCCCGCCGGCAGCGAGCCCACGCGTGACAGCAGCTCCGCGTATGGCCCCATCTCCGGGCCCGCCCTCGGTCCCGGTCCTGCCCCGGCCGCCCCCTCCCGCGTGGGGTGTAGGTGCCGCAGCCCGGGGTCGGTCGTTGCTTCCCCGCTTCGCCCCGACCTGCTCGGAAACGAAAAGTCGTCCGGGCTGCGCCCCCGCCCAGGGCAGGGCCCGGGACCGGCGGGGCCGCGGGGTCCCCGGGTCCGCACCCGCCCCGCCGGGACACCCCGACACCTGCGCGGGGAGACGTGAATTAGCCCCAAAGCTCTTCCCGGCTCCGTTCAGCCACCGGTGGAGGGAATCGTTTTCCCGCCCGGGTGGGGAATGGGACCGGGCTGGGCGAAGCCCGGAGCCGAACCGGGCGGCGGAGCGGGTGGGGAACTCGGGGCTGGCCGCCCCGAGGGTGCGGGGAGGGTGTCCACATACACAGGGATCTCGCGTGGAATGAGGCTCCGGGGAGCGCTCTGCCCTGACCGGCGGTACCCCCGGCCCGGCCGGGCTGCCTCTCCCGGGACACCGGGTCCAGCCCGGCCGCACGGTCTGTTCGGGGACTGGGAAGCGCTGGGGCTCTGCCGAGCGGGCGACTTGCTCTGCCCCCACTTCCCCCCCGCGGTCTCAGTGCTGGGGGCATACTCGGGTCGCCCAGGAGAAGGGGACACGGGGGGAGCGCGACCGTGGCGTAACCGGGTCGCCGGCCGGCACCGGCATCCTCGGCCGCTCGGGGAACCGGGCAGGACCGAAAGCTGGGCTGGATTCCAGACGTCCCGGGCACGGGTGTCCGTGGGGCGGAGCGGCTTGTGAAGCGCGGTCACCGGAGCGAACGGGAAGCCGCAGGGAAGAGCCCGGCTGCGGCGCAGGGATCGATCGTGGCGGCGGTTGGGTTGGAGCCAGCTCCCTCCCGCCCCGCCGCCGCTCCCGGCTCAGCCGCGCTTGGACACGCGTGCTCGCCCCGCCGCCCCCACGGGCGGTCCCGGCAGGGGCAGTGGGCCCCCGGTTTCGTTGCAAAGCTAGCGGCCGTGGAAGCCCCCTCACAGCGAGAAACGAGGGGGGAGGCGTGCACTCCGCCCCGCGGTGGCCCACTGAGCCCCGTGGGGCTCATCACACGAGTCCGGGCTGGGGAAGCGGAGATCCGGCAGCCGAGGGGCGGATTTGGGGTCAAACGGGCTGAAACGGGGGTTGCCGCGGAGACACACGCCCTCGCCGGGCCGGCGCCGTCCCCGAGTCCGCACCGAGCCCCGGGACCCCGGGGCAGGGCCGGGGCCGGCGGGGGCGAGCGGCCCCCCCCTGGCCGAGAGCCCGTGGGGCGCCCAGGCAGCTTCTGCCGTTGACCTCGGGAGCGTGGAGGGCGGCCGGTGCCCAGGCTTGGCTCCTGCTCCCGGTGGCTCCGCCGGGTGGGGGTGGGCCCCCCCCGCAGCTCCGCCGGCCCCTGGCGAGGGGGGCCCCGAACCCCCTCTGGCAGCGGGGCGAACTGCCTGGGAGAGCCGGGGACGGTCCCGCCCGCTGCTCTCTCGTCCCCGCGGCGCCGGGGCGGCTCCGTCCCGCTTCTCTTTCTGGGCCAAGACCCCCACGAGCGGTCGCAGCCCCGGCCCTGGCTCGCCCACGGCCCGCGGGCTCCGGCCGGACCCCCACGCAGCGACGGTCGCTCCCCGCTGCTTTCCCCGCGCCGTTCTCGTTTGCGTCTCGCCTTCGCCCTGCCCCCCCGCACCGCAACCGGGGACACAGCCCCGGCCCCCGCGCGGGTCCCGCGTGGGTCACGGCGCGGGATGGAGCTATTCCCTGCGCTGGTGCCGGCGCCGGAGGCAGCTGGAGCCGCGGCCTCTCCCCTCTCCGTCCCCACGCGTGGCTGTGGGACTCCGCGGAACCGCGAAGCTCCGCGCAGGAGACGGGGCAGAACCGGCTACTCAGCCGGGAGCTCCGCGGCCCCTCACGGCTCCCGTGGGGGGTCGGTGCGGGGAGGTTCGGCTCCGGGACCGTGCTCCCCACCGGCACCGGGACACCGGCAGCGGAGGCGCGGGGCAAACACCCCTTCCGCGGGCTCCAGCACCCCCCACGGCCACGGGGAAGGGCCGTGCTGAGCCGCCGCGGAGGCTGCCCGGGAGCCCCAACAGCAAACGCGGCGGCGGCACCGTCGTGCCCGGGGGAACGACCCGGCTCCCCCCGCGCACCCCCCCCGGCCAGGCCTGGCGCTCGCTGTCCCCGGGTCTCTCTTCCGCGCGGCACCTTCGCGGGGGAGGGATCCGGGCCACCGCGTCCACGCCGATTCACGAGCCGCCCCGCGACCTGCCTTAATTAACAACGATTAATTCGACACTAACGAAAAACTCCCCGGGACGCCGCTCGCCGGGGGCCAGGAGGGCGCGGGGGGGTGCACGACCCCCGCCCGGCCCCGCTGCGCCGCGCTCCGCGCAGGACCGGACACGCTGCGCAAAACCCGAGGGGGTTGGACCGGTGGGACTGGGAGCCCACGGGAGCCACGGGGTGGAAATTTCCCGGCTCCTCCCGTGAGCGCGTTTTCACCTCGGCCAACGGCGGCGGGAGGCGGGCTCTGCCCGCGGGGACTCGACCCACTCTCCCCACGAGTCCCTTGTGGGGCCGCGGACCCCCACCCCACGGCAGGGGAACCGTTGCCCCTGTGACCCGGTCGCTGCCCGCCCCCGTGGCGGGACCAGGCAGTGCTCCGAGGCGGCAGGCAGGAGCCCCGGGACACAACGATCCCCGGGACAGGGACGAGGCCGGTGCCCCCCGGTTCCTGCTGGGGGGGCACCCGGGGGTCAGGCAGGCGCACGGGGGAGACGCCCCCGCAGCCGCGCTGGTCTCGCCGTCCCCGTCACGGGTGACCCGGCGGCAAACCGGAGCCAGACCGGAGCCCCGTGGCGAGGCAGCCGCGGCCGCATTTTATCGGAGAGCAGGCGCAGTCGGATACTTGGGGCCACGCCCACCGTGGGGTCTCCCACGCGTGAGCGCGGCGGCCACTGAGGATACTCCCCCTCGGCTTCTTGCTCCTTAGCGGAGAAGAGTCGGAAGCGGCGGCGGCGGCGGCGGCGGCGGGGGGCGAGGGGGGAGGTCCACGAGTGGCCTCGCTTGGCCTCGTCCCGCGTGGACGGGGCTGCAGAAGCCCACTCAGCACCGGGCCATGGCGCCTCGGGTCCCACTCGCGGGGCAGTCCCGCTGTCCCCGGTGGAGGGAACGGCTTCACTCCGTGGGACGGGGCTGAGGCTCTGCCGGGCCTCCCCCCGACGTGGGGGGCGGTTTGGGACCCTCCCCGGCCGGGGGCGGGCGACCAGTCGCTTGAGGCCTCCGGTCCCCCAGGAGGCTGGACCCGTCCCCCTCGGCTCACCGCTCCGACGCGCGTGTCTCTGTCTCCCGTGGCCGCCTCGGGGACGGACTCGCGGCGGGAGAAGGAGCCGGCTCCCGGGCGGGACGCGGAACGGCGCGGGGGGGGGTTCCGGAGGGGTCCCGGTACCAGCGGGCAGCCCCACCAGCGCTCCCACGCCACTTTGCTGACAGGTAACGCGGCGAGGACGCGCACGCCCCAAACCCCGCGTGGGGCCACCACGCTGACCCCCCCTCCGCGCTCCCGTTGAGCGGAGCCGGCGGGCTGCCGGCGCGGGGAAAACCGGAGGCGGCTGAGCTCCGGCAGCGCCGGGAAGGATCCGCGCTCCCGCGGGACCGCGTCTCCCCGTGGACAGTTCCCGGCGCAGAGCGGTTGGTGCGTGGGGCGCTCCCGCCCCTCTCCGCGCTCCCTTTGTGGCAGCGCCGTGGGAACAGCCCGTCACTCCCCCCGCGCGGGTGGGCCCCGTCCAGGTACCGGTGGGGACCGGTCCGAGGGAGGCGGCGGCTCCTTTGTGCTCCCCCCCCCCCCCCCCCCGCCTCATTCCGCGCTCCCCGCCGTGGCGGGGAGGGCGTGGCGGGGCGTGGCGGGGCGTGGCGGGGCGTGGCATCCCGCCGCCGTGCCCCGCCCCGCGCTCATCGGGACGCGGCGCACGTCGGGGGGCGGGGCGGCGGCGCGGGCCAATGCGGCGCGGGCGGAATATTCCACCCGGCTCCGCCAGCAACAAGTGCGGGGGGGGACGGGGGGGTGGGGTGGGGGGTGGGGCCGCGGCGCTGACGTCAGCGGGCGGAGTATTATGGTCTGGGCTGCGCTGGCGGCTGCCTGTGTGCTGCGAGCGGCCGCGTAAACATGGAGCTCTCGGCCGTCGGGGAGCGCGTCTTCGCGGCCGAGGCCCTGCTCAAGCGCCGCATCCGCAAAGTAGGTGCCTTCCCCCCCCCCCCCCCCCACCTCCAGCTTCCTCCCCCCGCGCCGCCTCGCCCCCCCGCCGCCGCCTCCCCCGCCCCCCCCCCCCCCCCCCCCCCCCCCGCCGCCGCTGCGGCCCCGGCCCGGTTGCGGTTGGGTGCCCGCGGGGGGCGGCTCTTTCTCCCCGCCGCTCCCGCCCGCCTTCCCGGGCTGCACACCCCCTCGGGTTTGTTTTGTTATTTTTTTTTTTTTAATTATTATTATATTTTTTTTTTCCTTTTTTTTTAACAATTTTATTTTTTTGTTGCATCCCCCTCGCGCTCCCCTCCCCCCCCCCCCCCCCCCTCCCCCTTCTCGCGTGTTTTCGGCGCGGCGCGTGTTTGTTGCCTGCGTGGAATTGCGGGTGTATCTTTGTTGCGGGCGTTTATCGCGGTTTCCCTCCATGCATATTTATTTTTCTCTTTGCATCTGCAGGGGCGCATGGAATATCTCGTAAAATGGAAGGGCTGGTCTCAGAAGTAAGTCGGCCGTTTGTCCGTGGGGATCTGCAGCTGGGGGGCTGGGGGGAGATGGCTCGCTGCAGCCCTGCTCTCCCATTGTAGTAGAAAGGAAACTTGGGTCCCTTCCTTTATGCCCTGTATTTTTTATTTCATTGATTTTTATTTATTTTTTTTTTCTGTTCCTGTCTCCTCATGCTGTCCCCTCTCTCTGTGCCCCCCCCCCCCCCCCCAGGTACAGCACTTGGGAACCTGAGGAGAACATCCTGGATGCCCGGCTGCTCGCAGCCTTTGAGGAAAGGTACAAGGCCTTTGCTAGCTGTAGCCGTTGTGCTTGTAAATATGTTGCTGTCTTGTAGCTATGCTGAATTGAAGCTTTGGTTCTTTTAACACCTCTAGGGAGCGAGAAATGGAGCTATACGGGCCCAAAAAGCGAGGCCCCAAGCCCAAAACCTTCCTGCTAAAGGTAAGGAGGCTGGAACCCCGCGCGCGCTGACGCCGGCCAGGGCTGCGTGCTGCAGCGGGGAGCAGGGGTCCCTCTCTGGCCCCCGCGGAGGATGCTCCTTGTAAAGGTGGCCCCTTGTCCTGTAAGTTGTAATTATGCAGCCGGATGGCAGGATAATAAAGTCACTGGTTGATTTATCTTCTTTGCAGGCCCAGGCAAAAGCAAAAGCCAAAACGTATGAATTCCGCAGTGACTCTTCCAGGGGGATCCGGGTGCCGTATCCCGGCAGGTCCCCCCAGGAGCTGGGCTCCACGTCCCGGGCTAGGGAAGGACTCAGAAACATAGCCCTGGCTCCCCAGGGCAGCTCCAGCACCAGCACCCCCAAGGGAGACAGCATCCGGGACCGGGTGATCCGTGTGGAGGAGAAGCCTGGGGAGACCCCCAAAAAGAGAGGCCCGAAACCCAGGAAGGAGCTTTACAAGGACCTGGCGGAGACTCTGGATGCCTCCAAGAGGAAACTGGGGGACCCGGGGGACAAGGTGGGGGACTACCTGAAGGCCAGGAAGATGGAGGAGGCGGCGGCGGGGGCGGCCAAGTTCGGCTCGGGACACAGCGTCATCCAGCTGGCCAGGCGGCAGGACCCCGACCTCCCCGGCGCCCTGCCCGGCCCCAACCGAGCCGAGGTGGGTGCCAAGCTGGGGGCCGCCGAGACCTTCCCCCCCCGGCTGGCCAAGCACCGGGCAGACTTTCTGGACCCCAAGGGGCAGGGGGGGCTGGACCCCGGTGGGCCCAAGCTCCTGCACGGCGCGGTCAGCCCGGGCGCCGTGGGCAGCCTGTACCGCGACGGCGTGGGGGGCCAGGCGGGGCGGCCATCCCTCATCGCCAGGATCCCCGTCTCCAGGATCCTGGGGGACCCCGAGGAGGAGTCCTGGAGCCCCTCTCTCAACAACCTGGAGAAGGTGGTGGTAACTGATGTGACCTCTAACTTTTTGACCGTCACCATCAAGGAGAGCAGCACGGACCAAGGATTCTTTAAAGAGAAGCGATGAGTTTGTTGGAGGTGGTGCTGGGGTTTTCTTCGGTCAGATCCAGACAAAAGCTTGGTTAGAGCTTGGTGGGCCTTTCTCTTTTTTTTTTTTTTATTTTATTTTTTTTTTATTTTTTTAAATTTTTTTTCTCTTTTTTTTTGGTCCTGGAGAGGATTTAGAAACTGTCCTAAATTCATTAACTCATTCTTTTTTTTTTCTTTTTTTTTTTTTGTCACGTCTTACATTTCGTTGGAAAGATTATCTCTAGAGTTATATTTTCTATTAGATGTAAATATGTTATTTAAGAAAAAATGCTTATATATATATCTATATATATATATTTCAACTCTGAGTTGTTTTATTTAAATGGAGACAACAGTGACTGCTCAGTTGCTCTTAGAAAGGACAATAAAACTGAGAACTAACAGAGTTCATGCATCTGTTGCAGGAGCCGGTGTACATAACAAACGATGTTCATAGCTAATTATGTTCTGGGTTTTTTTAACTATTATTTTTAATATGATGCTATGGATGGTGGAGGGGGAAGTGTTACTCCCTCAGAGGGCAAAGTGCCCTGATTTCTTGATTGTGATATAAGGTGTTGCTTGTACAATCAAGTGTGCTGTATCCAGAACTGTTGCCCTTGACAGTTGAAGCACTTGAATTTACAGTATTGTTGGGGAGGGGGCGTTTCCAGTCTAACAAAAAAATAATGTTGCTACAAAGTCGGGGCGGGGGGGGGGGGGGAAGAGCAGAAATCCATAAAAAAGCTTAAACTGTTCTAGCAGAGTATTAACTTGAATTACCTTTTCTTGCGAAGGAAGAGGAGGTTTGCGTGTGTAAGGTTCCTGAGAGGGGTGATACTGAAATGCACTTTAATAGAGTTGTCGTAGCAGTTGTGGGAGATGGGACTGAGCTGAGAATCTGTTTTCATTTTGTCTGGTTGCTTGATTCTGTTCCCCCATCCACTTAAAAAAAAAAAAAAAAAAAAAAAAAGAAAACAAAAACAACAAAACCCCCTCTGTTTACATTCCTGAAATGCCAGAGAGGTTTGGGAGGGTAGCATGTCACTGCCCATATTTAGATGCTTTATACTGCTATAGAAAGTGGATTATTATTGTTATTATTTTTTTTCCCCAAACATAGTTCACTTCAGACTGTTGGAAGACTCCAGATAAAGTGTTTTGTAATATCCACATCTCTGACAAATCCCAGAGCCACCTTTATGCATTCAGAGACAATAAATATTTCCCTTTTCTTATGCTAGTTAAACAATAGCCAAGAGGCGAAATATTCCCGTTCGCGAGCAGCCCTGCTGACTCGGGTGGCTTTTTGTGGTTTATTTGCCTGTGTTATTTCTCCTGGCTGGGGAGGACTCTGCTGTTTTTCTCCCCGGGCTGGGGCAGGGCATGGCTGTGGGGTTTCATGGCTCGGCAGTTTCCCGCCGGGTTGTGCAGCGCCGTGGGGGCTGCAGCCCCCCACTCCCTCCCCCCGCATCCCGTCCCCCCCAGCCCTGTCTGGGGGGGGGGTGTGTGTCCCCGAGTTATGATTTCGGTTGAGGTGGAGCAGGTGGCCTCGTCCCGCTGCGTTGGCCTGAGCATCTCTCGGGGTTGGAAAGCACAAATCTGTCCGGCAGCACCCGAGGGCCAGGGCTGGGCCAGGGCCCCCTCGTCCCCCCTCGCCTGCTGCCCGGTTTTGGGGGGCTGTATGGCGGGGGGTGGCAGCACTGGGGGCCTGGCGGGCAGGGAAAGGGGCTGGGGCAAGGAGCAGCCCTTGCTGTTGGGCCCATCTGCGGCTCCCCCTTGCTCAGTCCCTTCCTTGTCCTTTTGGGAGCCCTGGCAGGAGGATGCTGTATTGACTGTACAAAGGGAGCCATGTCTGTGAGTTCTGAGGATTTTTGTTTTTCTTTTTTTTTATTTTTTGTTGTTTTCCTCCTCTTTTTTTTTTTTTTTTTTTTTTAAAGGTGTATTTTGTAAAATTGAGATTTTTAACTTGGTTTGTACGAAGAACCAATGTGCTGGTTTCAGTGCCGGTGCCAGGGGCAGCCGACACGGGACACGTGTGTTGTCGGAGGGATGAGGACGGGACGAGCTGCCCGTCCCCCCACTGCTGCCGTGCCAAGGCTGGGGGGGGGGCTGCCTCCCCTTGCAAAAGAGCCCGGAGCCATGCTCCTGCCCCCCCGGGCTGCAGTTGGGGTTTGGGGTGCTTCGCTCCAGCCCTGTCTATATGTGTGCGTCCTGACACACAAACATACATGTGGGTGTATATGTGTGTATGTATATAGCGACGTGTATACTGAGTGTGTGTGCGTGGGGGTGTGTGTGCGTGAATTATTTAAATCTAAGACTTGTACAAAAACGATTTGGCTAAATCTCAGTCTCAGAAGTGAAGCTTAACTACGTGTCTTCTGCCAGCCGTGAATGTCCATGAGACCTGCTTTTTATGTGAGTTTAAATATATACTTTGTAAATAGAAACGTGTCTGTCTTCCCTTTGTGGCCCTGGGGTGAGAGGGGGGCGTGGGGCTGGGGGGGGCGGCGGGGAGCAGCGGGGGGGTGGTCGGCCCCGCATCCCCCCTTCTGTCGCGGCCGTGCAGGGCGGGGGAGGCCGGGCCGCCCCCCCGGGGATCCCGGGCCGCCCCCCCGGGGATCCCGGGCCGCCCCCCCGGGGATCCCGGGCCGCCCCCCCGGGGATCCCGCCGTGCCTGGACGGGGCGGCCGTGCGGCTCCGCTCCCAGGAGCAGCCCCGGGGCCGCGGCTCCGCCACCGGGCCGGGCCCCGCTCCGTCCTTCCGACGGGGCGGGCAGCGCGGCGGGGCCCCGGGGCGCGGCGAGCCCGGCTTTTGTATTCAAATCCACCCCGGCCGCGCAGGCGGAGGGGAGCGGGAGGGGGTTGGTTTTGGTGATTTTTTTTTTTTTTTTTTGAAGCTGTGTCCTCATTAACCTCCTTTTTCTGCTCTGCCGGGTGAAAGGCGCGGACCCCCGCATTATGGGAGCTGTCAGCGGCTGGGCGCGGAAAATGAGTGTCAAGGAGGAGCGGGAGAAAGGGCCGCACAATGGCGCCTTTCTCCCCCGGCCCAGCGGGGGGGCCCTTTCACACGGGCCGCGGCGGGGCCCCCGCGGAGGGAGGGGCTGGGGACGGGGACGGGGACGGGGCTCCCGGCTGGCGGAGCCCCCCCGGCACCACCCCCCGCAGCCCCCTCCTCCCGTGCCGGGGTGGCTCCGCGCCCCCCCCGGGGCTCAGCTCCCCCGACGGCATCCCCGACGGCAGAGCCCGGGGGGCCGCTCGGCCCCCGCCTTTCCGCGGCCGCGCAGCGCCCTCCCCAGGCCGGCCCCGGGGCCGCGGTTGGGGGTGGCCGGGTGGGTCCGGTTCCCCCCCCCCCCCCCCCCAAGATGGGCCGGTGCTGAGCGGAGGCACCTGAGTCGCCCCCGCCCTGGGCAAGCGCAGCTCCCGGCGCAGCGGAGCCTGGGGGGAAGCTGGGCTGGGGCCCGGGGGGGGCCGCGTCCTGCCCGGCCCCTCGGAGGCGGGGGGGTGGCTGCCCGCCCCGTCGGTCCCCCGCAGCCTCGCCCGGCCCCCGAGCCCTGTGGCCGGAGCCCCCGGGCAGGGGCGCGAACACGGTGCCCCCCGGGGGGAGGGATGAGGAGGTTTCGCAAGGCAGGGGCAGCCCCGGGGAAGGAGGGGGACGGGCCCAGAGCTGTGACCACACGAGGCTGAAAAGTTTAAAAAAATATTTATTGATATGCTAAAAAAGAGCAGTGGAAAAGTTACACACACACACACACAAAAAAAAAACCCCAGCCCGATGCAACCAGCTCCTAATGTTTTCCTGCAAATAAATTAAAAGCAGCCTAGAGGTGGTGGGTCTACACTAGCGTTAGTGTCCAGAAGCACTAGAAAACACGGCCCAGAGCGCAAGCGAGGTGCCGGGGGGTGGTGGGGAAGTGAGGAGCGGGGCCCCCCAGCCCCGCGGCGCTCGGCGGGCCGGGCGCCGCTCCTGCGCCACAAAGCCCTTACGATTTCCCAGGGTAACAACATCTCCAACTTTTGTTCTCTGAAAATAAAAGCAAACAAACAGCTGTAGTTGAAAGCAATTATAAGTGTCATACAGGAACGATTTGGCTCTCTCTTTAATTAAAACATACAAATCAGACCAGTGACTGGCACAAGTTACAAAAACAATTGTTTGTTTTCACCCATCCCTCAATTTCTTTCAGTAAAAACCTTCTTTCTGGCTCTGGAGCCCTTCACACCCAGCTCAGAAACTCAACGCAAACCAAACCCCCTAATCTATCCCCATCCCTCCACGACCTCCAGTTTTTTTGGTACAAAATATATATATAAAAATAGACTAAGTTTCTAAGGAAGATGGCTGAATTGGCCACCTCTTCCAGTCCAATGGAAAACAACAAGTATGCTTAACCAGATTATGCCTGGAGAAAATATCCATTCAATATACAAATACTGCAGGACTTTCCACATCGGAAACCCCTTAGAAAATGACAAGTGACAAACCTTTAATTGGCTGTTTGACACACGGCTGAACACTCCAACCCATAGCAGCAAACTTAAAAAAAAGAAGAAGAAAAAAAAAAAAAAGGTAGACCTTGAATACTAATGGTACTGACTGGTAAACAGGGTCTGCACCGGCTTTCAACCCCTGTCCACAAAAGATTACAGTAAATCACTCACATAATGTGCCTTTGAGAGGCAAACTCCAACAGGAACCGTTCGCTCAGACACCCCAGCGCTGCTGGGAGAGCCGAGATCTGAAACACGAGGTCGGGAAGGGGCTGGGGAAGGAATGCAGGAGGAGATGAAGGTCAGGAAAATTTCTGGATTATCATTTTCACCATCCTCAGACCTTTGGAATCGAACCAGCTGGTGAGCAAAAGGCACAATAGCAAGTGGTGACAGCAGAGTCCTGCCGCTGCCGGGAGGGGACGCGCCTGGGAAGGGTGGGTGATGGAGGAAAGCCGCTCGCCGTCGGGATACGTGTTCCCCCGGGGACGGGCCCGGGCCCAGGGGCCCTTTGCCCGGCCAGGAGGCAGGAGCAAGCCCCAGCCCGGAGAAACCCCTGGGAGCTCTGACGGGGGCTCTGGAGGGAGCAGCCATCTCGGAGCCGGCGTGCAGCGAGCACAGCACAGCACCCACTGCCACAGCGTGTCTCCTGCACCCTCGGTGGACGTTTGGGTGCCCGACCCCTTTTTGGAGCATCCTCAGGTGCTTCGTCCCCCTCAGGGACACCAGCCCCCGCACCCTATTGCTCTAGGCAAGGGCATCCCTGCCGAGTGGCTTCCCCTCGCTGGGCATCCCTCAGCTGCCTTCAGGGCCCTGCGCGAGGGCTGGGTGTCCCACCCGGGACACGGGCACCTCTCCCCGTCAGTGTCACGGCTGTCCCCAGGACCCTGTGACCACCCCGCTTTGCATAGGCACAAACCTGTCGTGGGACCCGTGTCGCAGACAAGGCTGAGATAAGGACGGTCCGAAAGGCACATTGTCATTCGGTTTGGGTTTGCAAAGGCCAAGTAGCAAACATTTGGTGTGTGGGGAAGAGCGTTACCCCCGCGCTCCCAGATTTCTTGATTCCTCTCCCAAAACGCTCGTATCCCCGGCGCAAAAGCACACCCAGCAGACACCATGCCCAGAGCATTCGTTTCTGCTGACACAGGCTAACGTTTCCTTGGACTGTTCAAAGCAACGCTAGCTCGTTTGGCAAAGTTAAAGACTAGAAGGTAAACAGCACAGACTGTGACGTTTTGGCATCGTGGAGCTCAACGGAAACTCTGTCCTTGGGAACCTCCCCCATGGGCAACGCTCCCTCCTCTCCCCGCAGCCCTTTGCCCGGCAGAACACGCAGCGCGTTGCTGGCCCGGGCGGCCAGAGCCGCACCAGCCCTCTGCAAACCCGCTGCCCCAGGCTGCCCCACACCCTGCCGAGGTGATGTTCAAGGCTGCCCGGTTGCAGCAGAACCTGGGTTCTGGGTTTCTGGGGCAGAGCCGGAGCTGGCCGAGCAGCCTGCGCGGGTCCTGCTGCAAGGCATCGATCTGCCGTCACCCACCCCAGCTTGCCGGCACGTTGCCAGCTCACGCAGGACGTCGTGCTCGGCTCCGTAACGTTACAAACTCAACGACCAGCTGGACGGTTGGGGATTAAACTCCGAAGCTAAGGGAGAGCATCTCCGGAGCACAGGAGCCTGCGCTGGTAGAGGCTGCAGCCTCTGACCGACCCGGCAGCACACACTGCCAGCGCCAGCTTTTCGTTTCACCTGAGAATTGTGCCGCCGCCAGCCAGTGGCAGCAAACGCGGCTGCGGTGGGCTGGGGCGTCAGGGGGGCTCAGAAGTACCTGTACCCCCAGTTTGGTCCATCGATCTCCGCACTCCCGCGCACGAGGCCGCTGCGGGTGCCCCGGCCCAGGGCAGAGGAGCCTCTTCACACACACGTCGAGCAGCCGCTCCAGGGACGCCGGCGGGACGGCTCCTCCTCACCACGCACCCAAAGCTGGCAACTGCAGCTTTTTATCTCCTCCGAGAAAGGAGTTCAGCATTAACAGAACTAAAATGACCTTGAAGGCTGCTGAACTCTGCCTGAACTACTGCTGCTAATTTCGGCTTGTAAGGGTAACCTAGAGTAGGGCAAAAGACCTCCGTAAAGAAGCCATTATTTGTTGAAATTACAAGCCAAAATGAATACATTGGCTGCTAGCACAGGACGGCAAGATGAAGGTGAACGGCTGCCACGGGCCCTCTGGCTCCTCGAGGAACAGTGGCCAGAGGCACCCGCTGCCACGGCCTGACCTGGCCCCTTCTCCCTCTCCTCTCCTTCCCTTTCCTGCTGCTCCAGACCACCCGTGCAGGTCTCCTCGACCAGCTTCTGAGCCCTCCGGCTGCAGGAAAACGTGGACGATCAGCGTGAGTCAAACCCAGTGACCATCCAAGGCTGGGTCCGGCCGGGCTCCCTGCAGGGAGGGGTCACTCACCCCCGGCTCTGCCCGGGCGCTGCTTTTGAGCTGAACTCCAGCACCGACCCCGCAGACGCCTGGCAGTCCGAGTACCAACCTACCTGCCGCCAGAAAGGTTCACATGTTCTGCAAGACTTAAAAAATATTCTCCAGCTCGGTCCCTACGAGCGCCTGGAGACTGCTGAGTGGGAGGCAGGGATGCTGGTGGTGCTGGGATGAGGCAGCGGAGCGGCGCTGGGGCCCCCCAGGCTGCACAATTCGGGCTTCGCTTTCTTCTGAAAGTCAAGCGACTGCGGAGAAGCCAGCGGCTCTCGCTGGCTCCCAAGGCAGGACCCTCCCCGGCAGCGAGGAGGCACCCGCTGCCAGCCGCCCCTTGCCCTGAAAGAGGCACCTTTGACGCCCATACTGTCAGTGGCATCCAGGATTCAGTCCTCCCTAGATTGGGTTTATTCCCCTCCCTCAAAAAAAAAAAAAAAAAAAGGATTTTTCCTTGATAAAAAAATGTAAACAATATTTCCCTATCAGCTGGAAACCACAACAGAAACGTTGTGGACTTCACTATCATTGGAAGTGACCTCGCCCAGGGGGGTGGCTGGGCTGAGCGTACCCTGAAAAACCCCCATACACAGCCGCCCCCCAGGGCTGGGAACAGCGGCTGCCTCATTTGGATTGACTTGCGACTCCCCACGGCTCGCAGACAGATTAATGGGGAGCCCAGAGGAAGGAACAGGATCTCCTTTTCCTCTCCCGAGTACAAGCCTGGCCCATCGCAGCTCCACAACCTCTCCCTGCTGCCACAGAGCCGCAGACCTTGTCATCTGCTGTTTCAAGCTGTAAAGCAAAGAAACGCGCGTACAGTGAAGCCTGGCTCAAAACGTGCCAGCCTGTCACCCCCGGCAGCACCAGTGCCCCCGCGCCCGCAGAGCGGCGTCGGCCACCTCTGCTCGGGGCACCGGCTGCGGGAGAGGATGGAGAGAAGCCGGGAGGGATCCGTCGACCCGCTGGCAGTTCTGAGCAGGTTTCACCGCGTCTTTCTCAAGCCTCTCTAGACACGAGTCCCAGCAGGTCTCACGTGTTCACTTGAAGAAAGAAAAACCCGATGGAAGAGCTGGGCAAAGCTGAGGGAGAGGCTGAAGGACCCTCTCCCTCCCCTCGCGCTCCTGGGCTCAGTATTGCCGCAGGTTGAAAAACCCGACGCTGGTGGGGGACTCCTTGACTGTCACTGTGATCAGGTTAGCGGTGACGTCGGTGACAAAGACGTGCTCGATCAGGCTGCGGGTGGGTTTCCAGTCCTGGCTGGTCTGGATGGAGACAGACATGTTCTGACCCACGCCTGGGAAGGAAGCCGAATCCCGGTCCGAATCCGAGCTGGTCTCTTCGCCCGTGCTCACCTCGGAAAGGGCGGCCGGCTTGCGGCTCTCCGCGTGCCCCTCCTGCGTGCCGGCCGTGCTGCTTTTGGCCAAGTCCCTGTCGCCTGCCCGGGGCGCTTGCTTCTCGCTCTTGCCGCCGTCCCCCCCCGCGAGCACGCCGGCAGCGTTCAGCCCGGCCCCCGCCGTGCCGCCCTTCGCCCCGCCGGCACCCGCGCTCGCCGCCGCGCCGGAGCCTTTGGCCAGGGCGCTGCAGAGGTGGCGAGGGAGGCTGCTCCCGCCGGCCACGCTCGGCCCGTTTTTGACGCTCTGCAGGTTTAGGGCTTGGAGGTTCAGCTCCTGGCTGGAGGCCGGCTGGCTGCCGGCCCCGGATGAGCTCGCAGGCGTCTTGCTGCCGTTGTGCAGCATTTGGCCTCCCGCAGCAAACCCTGATTTCTGGTCCCCTCCAGCGCCGCTGCTAGGAGCCTTAGCAGCCTTGGGGCCCTGCACGCTCAGCCCAAGCTCCCCAGGCCCTTTCTGGTTCCTCATTTTTAAGTCCAGCCCTAAGCTGCTCTTACTGGATGCCTGCGACTTCAGCGCCAGCCTGCCCAGGGGCGAGGTCTCTGCCGCGCTCTGGCTTTGGGACATCCTGTTCATGTAGTGCACGATGGAGCTCTGCCAGCTGATGGCCCGGCTCGGGCTGGCGGAGCCGCCCTTCAGCATGTTGGGCAGGTTTTCGGCAGACGACCCCGCAGAGCTGAGCCCAGCCAAGGCGCCCGGCGGGTCCTTCAGCGCGGCCATGCCCGAGCCCTGCGCGCTGTGCTGGGGCTGCAGCTTCCCCAGCAGCTTGGCGCTGCCGCCCGCCTCCTTCCGGGATGTTTTCAGCACCTTTGTCAGGTTCACGGTCCTTCGAGCCGCTTTCTGCTCCGGGGGAAGAGGTTTCCGACCACGCTTCTTCCTGGAAGTGTCTTTCATTTCGGGCTTCGCCACCAGGATCTGAGCTTTCTTCTGTGGGACCGGGTGAGTCTCTCTGCCGCGGGGACCTCTCTTGGCTTCCAGGTCACTTTCATCCTCTTCATCAGAGGAGGAGGAAGAGGAGGATGTGGAGGAAGAGGAGCTACTTGACTTTGTTTTTGCAGGCATCTCTGGTTCCTGCAAAGCGATGGAGAGACAGGGGAAGTTGACACAAATAACCAAAGAACTGCTGCAGGGGTTGCAAATCCTCCAGCATTCCCCGGCCAGGGGCCTCAGACACATGCACGTTCTTCCTCCTCCTCAGCTGATCCGCTCGTCCTCTGCCCTGAAACGAGTTTGGGAGCGTACAGCACAAAACCGACCCGGCCTAACGCCAGGCGGGACCCTGGTGCCAGGGAACTCTTCTGCCTCCCCCTCCGCCATCGCCAGGGCAGCGATGAAGAGACGTACGTCCTCCTCGCAGGCATCCTCCTCCCTTCGCCCCCATCACTGCAAACTCCGGAGCCCTGACTGCAGCACCACTGGGCCCTCAGCACCCACCGCACCCTGCGCTGGGGACAGACACTGGCTGGTGCCTTCCCAGCGCCCTCACGGCCCCGGGCCCACCACCACCCGCACTCACCACGTGTTTCCTGGGCCTGCCCCTGGGCCGCTTGCCCCTCTTCCGATTCTGCACTTCTTTTTCATGCTCCCTGAAAAAACAGTGATCAAGGACAACGTTTGCAGGGAAGAAAACCATCCAAAATCATCCTGGTTCCTCCCTTTCTTTTGTCGTTAAGAACGTCCCTTGCTCGGGCTGCTGAAGGCTCAGCTCCTGCCTGAGCAGCGGCTGGGAGGTGCCCTTAACCCCTGCCAACACGTGGCGATCTTACAGGCTCTGAGCACATCACCTGAACTCACGCTGTTACGGGCACACCGCCCTCAAGTGCGGTCAAAGAGCCCCAGGAATGGTAGGGAAATGCGGGGATTTGTGCGGTTCAACCCCCCTCACGTGGCACCCGGCCCGTTTACCCTGCGGGACCAGCACACGTACCTGGAAGACTCAGGCCCTGAATGTGAGGCAATGCAAGAAAAAGAACTGCAGAGTGAGGAAAAGGTTATAAAAATGGTGGCCTTAGAGCAAGGACAGCTATCTGGATGTTGGGGTACCCAGCTGGCACCTGCTCTGATTTACTGGAAGAGGGGTGAAAAGAGAGAGAACCTCCCTTGCATACAGTGTGGGAGAGAACTGCGCGGATGGCTGAAATGTATTTACCAAACTGCCCACAGAGCCAAATCCCTTGCCACGCAGAACCGGCCAGCTGGTTACCCCAGTCCTGGTCCCTTTGTCCCACTGGTGCCAGTCACAGACTTTCCAAAGAGAGGCATCGGGTGTTGTAACCCTGCTCTGCTCACACCTGGGGTAACCGGGCAGTGATGGGGGAGCAGCCCCGTTTGCAGCCCCGTTTGCTCCAACATCCCCACAGCAAGAAGCTTCCAGCAGCCAGCGATGGACCGCACGGCGCTGCCCATCCTGAACCAGTGGCCCTTCCAATTCATGGTAAAATTTGTCAGTTTTTCTGGTGCAACGGGATCAGGCAAACAGAAGCATCTGCCCCGTCTTGCCTTGCTCTGGCGCTTGCAGAGCTGAGCTTCCCCTCCGCGCAGAGAGCAGCGGCACAGCCTGCCCGTGGAGGAAAAGCAAATGCATTCCCTGGAAACTCGGCAAGTTCCGTCCTTCGCTGGGCTCATGTCAGCCCTCCTGCACCCCCCGGGCTGGGCCAGGCTGGCAGCCACGCAAAGCCCGCGGTGGTCGTACGGGCCGTGCTCTCGGATCACTACACTATTTCATAGTTGTCCGTTGGAAAAGGAGTGTTCAGCTGCTATACACATGGCTAATTGAACACTGCGCTGCCTGCACTAACCACCAGATTCCATTCTTGAAAAAATGGATCCAGAAACAAGTTATAATTAAATCCTATCATAAACTTTAATGATTCTTATTAATATGGAGCCAAAATATTTGGCAGTGCTGTGCTGACCGCAGCCAGCTGGGTACTTTTTTACCTCCGTGCATGATTCCTGGCGTGCAAGAGCTGCGGAACAATTGCCGGTCCCAGCTCGGCTCTGGCCAGTAGCCGCAGCCCTGACAGAGGACACCATTTTCTCCCACCCTCTCCCACCCGTGCCCTCCAGCAGCACATTTTGGAGCCTCCCAAGCCCCCCGTTCCTGCAGTCCCAGACGCCGTCTCCCCACCGGGGCCTGCAGTCACACCCCCAAAACCCAGTGAGGCCCCGACCGCTGGACGGGACCGGAGCCCCAGGTCTCTGCTGGGCGCTGCCGCCCTCCCATTGTACCGCCAGCGCCAAACCAGCTTGTGCGCTGGGCCATAAATTCTCGGTGTTTACCCAGCCCGGGGAGAGACGTCCTAGGTGGACCTGAACTGTAATTTCAGGAGATGAACAAAAGGGCTGTGCCACAAAAGGCACGGCGAGCTTCAGGCTGTTGTTTCCACAACTTCCACTGCACGCGCAGCCAATTAGAAGTTAATTGACTTTATCGTTCGCATAGAAATATTTATAGTTTGCTCACTTCTTTTGGAAAGCGAGGAGGAGTCTCGGATCGAGGATGTTCTCCTCGGGCTCCCAGCTGTTGTGCCTGCAACAGAAGACACGGACTGGGCGAGAGCGGGGGGCCGGTGCCCCCCGCCGCCCCCGTTCCCGGCCCGGCACTGGGGAGTTCATCCGAGGACAACCGGGCCCTCCGTGCCGCCCGGGCCGAGCCGCCGGTGGGGCCCGGGGCACCCCCGCAGCCGGGGCCTGGCCAGCGCGGGCCCCGCGGGGCGGGATGGGGAGAAGGAGCCGGGGGAGGCAGAGCGGGGAGGGGGCGGCCGCGCCGCCGCGGAGCGAGGGGAGCCCCGCGCAAGCCCCGCGCATCCCGGCGGAGCCCCGCGCATCCCGGGGCAGCTCCGCTTTCGGCGGGCGGCCGAGGGGCACGGGGCCGGTGCCTGCCCGCCGTGGGGTGTGGGGGGGGTGGCCGTGGGGGGGGGTGGGGTGTCCCCGGGGGAGGGGGGGAGGTGGGGAGCGGAGCCCCACGCGGCGGCGGGGGAGGGCCGGGCCGCGGCCGCGCTTATTTGTAAACAAAAGGAGCGGCGCGACCCGAACAAAAGCGGCCGGGCGGGCGGCACCCCCGCGGCCGCGCATCGCCTCCGCGCCCCGCTCCGCGCCCCGCGCAGCCCCGCGCGGCGCCGCTCACTTGGAGGACCAGCCTCGCCACTTGACCAGGTACTCCAGCTTGCCCTGCGGAGACACGGAGAGAGGCGCGTTAGCGGCGGGCGGGCGGGGGGCGGCGGGCGGGCGGGCGGGGGGGGGGGGGGGGGGCGCGGCGGGTCCCACCTTGCGGAGCCGCTTGCTGAGGATGCACTCGGCGGCGAAGACCTGCTCTCCCACGCTGCTCAGCTCCTCCATGGCCCCGGCCCCGCGCACACGCACACGCACACACAAGGGGAGCCCCCGGGCGCGCCCCCGACGGCGGCGGCGCGCGCCCCCGCCCCCCCATCCCCGCGCGCCCCCCGGCACAATACGGCGCGCGCGCCCCCGGCGGAGGTGGGGGGGGGGGGGGGGGGGAAGCTAGTGGGGGGAGGAGGAGGGGGGAGGAGGAGGAGGAGGAGGGGGGGGCGGGGGCTCCCCAAATTCCTCGCTGGCCAATGGGGAGCGGAGGGCGGGGCGTGCCGGCAGCGGGGGGGGGTGGGGGGTGGGGGGAGGCATTGTCTGCGCGCGACCCCTCCTCTTCCTGCGCGCGGGGGGGGGCGGCGGGCCCGAGCGGGGACAATGGGCCCGGCCCGGCGCTTTGTTCCCCGGGGCGCGGGGGGGGGGGGGGGTGTGGGGTGGGGGTGTCCCTGCCCGGCCGCGGGCTCCGCCGTCCCCTGCTCGGGCAGCCGGGGTCCCTCCCGGGGACAAAGCAGCGGCGGGGGCGCAGCCAGGGGCGGGGGAAGCCCCCCCCCCCCCCCCCCCCCCGCCGGGCCGGAGCAGACGGTGCCGGCACGTTTTTGGTTGTGAAATAGTTGGTTATAATGGAATAAAGCGTATTTCCTCGGGGGGGGGGGGGGGGGGCGGCGGTCGCGGTAGCACCCAGGCCGGGTCTGGCCCGGCCCGCGGTCCGCTCGGGGACGTGACTCCGTGGCGACCCCGCCACGACTCCGCTCGCCACCGGGGCGTGCAAGGCGGCGTGAGGGGCTCCCGCGCCGCGGCGGTGCGCTGTGGGCGTGGAGCAGTGAAATATGGTGCTTTACAGGCTTGGAAGAAGATGAGTCAGCACCTCGGGGAGTTTACAACCGCGGGCCCGGAGCCTGCGATTAACCGTGCAGGAGCCAGAGGGAAATGAATTTCCGTAGCCCCGGCGCCCGGGTGGCCGCGGCGCGCAGGGGCTGAGCGGGACCCGCCCGGGCCATGGCGTGTCCTGCGTGCGGGGCCCCACGCAAACCCCGGCCACTGCCGTCTCCGGTAAGCGATGCTGGATTTAGAAAAGCCTTTAGAGCTCCAGGCTGGCGCGTCGGGCTGTCCCCGCTGCAGGCGATAACCTCGCTGCTGGGGAGCCCCTGCATGATGGGAGGGGAAAAGAGCATCTTCGGTGTCGGCGCGGGGCTGGCTCGGGGTCTGTAGGACAGTGGATGTACCTGGGGTGCTGGGTGAATACGGGGTGATTGTCCTAGGTCGAGGACTATCATGTTTTATTGTCTTTTTGCAATTGCTCTGCTCGCTTGCTGACCGGGAGAAGAGTTAGAAGCATTTTTTTAACCAAAGGTGACACAGAAATGCAACGCAGCACTGCACTTTTCCTTTCTTTTGAGTTAAGTTACCTTTTGTCAGCTCTGCTCTTTGTGTGCAGCGTGTCTTAAATTTTAGTTAAAAAAAAAAAAAAAAAAATGCGTGTGACTTTCCATCCCCGCGTGCATGAGCCGCGCGCGCGCACAACACGGCGTTGGCGGCGGCGTGAGCGCGGCGTGCCGAGCCGGGGGGCGAACGCTGCTGGGGAGGGAGCCCCGGTTCGGGTAACGCCGGGTGTTCCTGCGTGGTGCTGGTGCTCCCGAGCTCCCTGCGAGGACGCAGGAGTGAAACAGCCGTGCTCGTCCTTCCCCGAGAGAGGCCAGGGCTGGACGCGGGCGCAGCCCTCGGCGTTGGGGTCTCTTTGGGGGGTGTGAGCAGCGTTCGGGAGGCTGGTGTCCGGTGTGGGGCTGTGCCGGCTGCGTTGTCCCTGACCCTCCGTGGCCAGCCCATGGCAGGTCATTGCCACCAACGACCCGTGCTTTTTTGACGCCGTGCAGCCCCAGTGCCGTTCCCGCCTCCGCGTCGACGGGGAGCCGAGTCCCCTTGGCCTGGCGGGGGGAAAAAGGGCTGCGCTGCTCCGTGGACTGGAAATCTCCTTTATAGCCCCTGGGGCTTTACTGGGAACTGGTCCTGGTCAGCACCTGGGCTGCGGTGGGCCCCATGCTTTCTGCCGGTTCTCCCCAGTTTGGAGCTGCAGGTTATTTTGTGTAGTTTAAAAGCTGCGTGTGATGGCCGGGGGCAGAGTGGGTGTTTCCTTGGAGGGCAAAGCACACCAAGGCCTGGCTGTCGTCCGTTCTGGGGTGGCAGCTTTCTCAGGGCAATCACGGGTTTCCCATTGTTTGATGACTTTAATGAAGCCTTGTGATTAAATGAAAAATCTCCCTTTTTCTCAGAAAAGAAAAGGGAAGAGAATAAATCACTCTAAGCATTAAAAAAGTCTGAACTTGTGGCTTTGAAGATTTGCAAAAACAGGAAGCGAATAAAAAAATCCTACATTTGTTTATATGTTAAAATTTTGTGAGTTTCTATGTTGCAGTTCAGATCTTTCGCCCTTGAGCTCAGCAATAGCTAAAGGAACTTGCTGGAAGCATAGCTGCCTGCCCCTTACCAGTGCCAAGGGCGCTGGCCTGGTGTTGCCCAGCTTTCTCTTTGGCATTTTAGGATATTCTAGTGATGAAATAAAAAAAAAAAACCTGACCACAATTTCCTTTCACCTCTGCCCGTCTGCCTTCTGGTGCTGCCTCCAGCTCCCCAGGGGAGGGCAGGGACAGCGTCTGCACGATGGGACCGAGGGCAAGGAGGGCTGGGGCTGCGAGGGGGAATCCCGGGGGAGTTATGGGTCCTGGCACAGCGGGATGTCCCCTTTCTGCTGAGTTGGCCAGAGGGGACCGTCCCAGCCACGGCGCTTCCCTGGGCATCGCTGGCCAGAGCCACTGCAGAGCTCCCCGGGGAGCTGCAGGAGATGTCTGCCCGCTGCTGCCAAAGCCGCGGCTCCACCTGCGAGTGCCTTTGGGCTGAACTCAGCGATCTCCATCCCTGACAGGGGCTTCACCTTCCCGGAGAAGCTTGGGAACACGCAGTAAATAGCTTGGCTGCCACATTCCCCAGCTCCAGCCAAGCTAAGTGACAGCAGAGCCAATAAACTCAGCAGACGCAGAGAAAACCTTTGGCATCTTAAAAATGAGGCTCAGGCTCCTGAGCTAATTGGGTGGAACACAGTTTTGTAGCTCTTCACAAGTATGCCAGACATCCCAGGAATGCTGCGTATCCTGCATTATGTCGGTAGTGGGGGGCTGTGATGCTGCGGTGGGGGTTTGCTGTCGGAGGAAGGTGTTCACCCAAAGACCAGACCTTCCTGACAAGTCCATGGTGGCTCTGGAAAGTCTGGAGCGGGTGCGACGAGCCGGGCTGCTGGAGCGAGCGTGGCGGGGCCGGCCAGCAGCCTGAGCCCATCCAGCTGGGACACGGCTGCTCCCTGGGGGCTTGCAGAGCAAAGAGCCCGGGGCCAGAGAGGTGCAGGGTGGGGGTCAGGGCTGAGGCTGCTTCCACAGGATGCTTGGGCCCCGTCTTTGTGCCTGGACCCACCAGGAAGAAGGAGCACTGGCAGGGTACCCCGCGCTTCCCCCAGCGCTGTGGGCTCGGGGCCTTCCTGGGTCAGGGTTAACAGTGATGGGGTTTTCTGGGGGGTTTCAAGTGCGTGTAAGGTTCCTGACTTCAAAGGATGTAGCTGGGGCCAGCCCAGGGAGCGGCTGGGCCACGGTAGCCATGTTTATTGTGGGCAAATGGTGGTTGTTTTCCCAAGGCAGCAGCCAATTGAAGCACAGAGATCTGCATTTCGTTTGAGCACTGCAGCGGGTATGGAGCTGAGCAGCTTGCCGGGTGGGATGACCAGGGAGCATGTCGTCTCCGGGCCCCGTGGCTGCGTGTGGGAACTGTGGGGGCACGTGCCACCTCCAGACTGGGCAGTTTGAGAGGCAGCAGTTTTCCAGCAGACTGGGTGTACGCCATAAGTAAATACGTGTATGTATATGTTTGTGTTTCTGTTACCATCTTGGAGCAGTTGGGACCCCTGGGCAGCAAGCGTCTTCCTTGTGCAGGAAAAAGAAAGGGAAGCAAATGGTGTGGAAATGCATAGCAAATTGGGATGCAATACGCAGCGGGGCTCTCCCTGCTGTGTGACCCCCAGCCCCAGGGAGGGGGGTGGAATGAATTACTTGGGGATGGGAGGGCGGGGGGAGATGCAGCACTGGGCAGAGCAGGGATCTCAGCTGAGCCCAGCTGCGCATCGGGCAACGGTTGCATCCACCAGCACAAACCAGTACTGGGCTTGCTGGCATGGCTGGGCAGAGCTTTGTCTGTTGGGTAAATGTTTGGTGGAAATACCGCGTGGTGAAAGTGTACGAGGTGTGAGATGCCATGGGAAGGGCTGGGAAAGGCTCGGAGAAGGACAGGCAAAATTTGACAGTGTCTTCTGGATTCCAGGGTTTGTCTGGGGGGAGGCTGGGCTGGAGACTGTTCCTGGGCTGGGGAGCTGGGGCCAGCAGCCGGTTTAGGCTGTCACAGCTCTGCGTGTCTGTGGGGTTAAAGCTCCCCACACCCACGGGGGGAAGGATCTGCCTCACCCATCCTGCCTGGGACTTTGAGGCATCCGTTGTTCCGGGGCTGTGCTGTCAGAGGCGGGGAAAGTGCTGAAAGGTTTCACTAAGTGTGTGATGAGCATCTCCAGGGCTCATCCCCTGGAGCAGCCCTGCGTGTGCCGGGGCAGCCGGGGCTGCAATGGGTGCTGGGTGCTGGGGAGCCCCCCCGAGCTCAGCGGCTGCCCGAGGCGGGTCCCGGGCCCGTGCCGCCCAGAGCTTCAGTTCTGGGTTATTACCGAGCAGCACCGAGGAGGGGGCTCCTCCCCGCGGAAGCCACCGGGGCCTTTCACACCGGGACCTGGCCCCGGGGCTGCCGCCGGAGCCGGGCGAGCGGCCGGGAACGCCGGGCACGGCGAGTTCCACGAGCAACGAGCTGCCCGCCCCCGCCCCGCCGGTGCCGCGCTCACCCGTGGCGGGGGGGGGGGGCGTGGGGCGGTGAGCGCGGCTCGGGAGCCATCGCCCGCCGGCTGCCGGTACTGCACCGGGACCCCCGGGCGCGGGGCTGGAGCGGCCCCGGGTGGAGCCGGAGCAAAGGCCGGGCCCGGGGGGCAAACCAAGATTTTGTCAGACGTGGGCGGGTGGGCACC